GCCCACTACACGCCCACCATGCCAACCTTAGTCAGAAGACATGAATATTACCAGAGGGACCAACGGAAAGGTGAAAGCCTTGCCAACTACATCGCAGACCTCCGCAACCTTGGAGGCCTCTGCGGATTCTCTGATTTAGAAGAAGCCCTCCGAGACCGCCTGGTTCTAGGCCTAGAAGACGGCACGATCCAGAGCAAAATTATGGCTAAGGGGGACATCAGCCTCACCGATGCCCTCAAAGAAGCCACTGCAGCGGAGGCGACCAAAAAGTCGGCAGCCCGAATGCACCGCACCAATGCACCGCTACGTCAACTCGCCAAAGATACCTCGCCTCGCTCAGAGAGACACCCGGTATCAACTCACCACGAAGACCTAGAATCCCCATCAGAAAGCGATGAGGAAGAGGTCAACCGACTCCGAACGGAACGAGACCAGTTCACACAACCCTCATCTCGACCTTGCGCAGGATGTGGGGCGAATCACCCCCGATCCAGCTGCAAATTCCTCGACGCACTCTGCCGCGTTTGTGGGAAAAGAGGTCACATCGCAAAGGTCACCCCGACAGGCCGAATGCCAGTCTTCAGAATTCTTCGGCACACCCCGAAACAAACTGAATCACCAATGGGGAAGCCACTCCTACAGAAACAAACCGTCCACCACTTCCACCAGGCGTGAAGAAACCAGGCGGGAAGAGACCCACCAAACAATTACCATAGGCCACGTTACATCCCTTGATGCCGGGAAAATCCGAGTAGAGGTCGCTATCGAAAACAAACCTTGTGTAATGGAGGTGGACTCAGGATAATCCCTCTCGATGGTGTCCTGGAAGACGCTTCAACAGCTCATCCCGACGATTCGCCGCCAAGACCTAAACCCTCAAAGGGTTATCCTCAAAGATTACCAGGGTAACCGAATTCCCGTTGTCGGGTCCCGCCGATTCCAGGTCTCTTTCAAGGACCGCACTGTCGCACTGCCACTGACTGTCGTGGACCATGACCGGCCTAGTCTTTTAGGCCTTCAATGGTTCAGACTGCTTGGAATCACTGTAGCCAGAGTCCACCGTGCCAAGAGCAACGATTGGGAGGAAGCCCTCCTGCAAGAATTCCAAGACGTTTTCGCGAACGGACTAGGCAAGTACAAGGGGACCCCGATCTCATTTAACTTGAACCCCGAGGTAGCACCCATCCGCCTTAAGCCGCGTCAGGTGCCGTTCGCCCTGAAACCTAAAATCGATGAACAACTCGATAAGCTGATAGAACAGGGCGTGCTGGAACCCACCGACCACGCCCGATGGGAAACCCCAATAGTGACACCTATCAAGCCTGATGGGTCACTGAGAATTTGCGGAGACTACCGGGCCACCCTAAACCACGCACTTCAGCAAAGTGCGTATCCAGTGCCGGTAGTACAACACCTGCTCCATTCCCTGGGTGGCGGGAAAGTTTTCGCTAAACTAGACCTAGCACAGGCATATCAACAATTGCCTGTAGATCCGGCCACCGCGGAGGCGCAAACTATCATCACGCATAGGGGCGCATTTAAATGCAACCGGCTCCAGTTTGGGGTGAGCGTCGCTCCAGGAATTTTTCAGAGCTTAATGGAAAGGCTGTTACAAGGAATAAGAGGGGTCGTACCGTATTTCGACGATGTGCTCATCGCCGCCCCGAACAGAGACATCCTAGAAAAACGACTCCGCATAGTTTTACAAAGGTTCCAAAATGCAGGCCTCAAAGTTAAAAAAAATAAATGCCAGTTATGTACCGAAAGGGTGGAGTTTTGGGATACCTCCTGGACAGTCAAGGAATCCATCCCACTGAGGACAAATTAAAGGCAATTAAGAAGGCCCCCACTCCAAGGAACAAGGCAGATCTACAGGCGTTCCTTGGACTTATCAATTTTTATAACGTCTTTTTACCCAATAAAGCAACCGTACCTGAACCATTACATAGACTCTTAGACAAAAAAGCAACGTGGGTTTGGGGACAACGTGAACAAAATGCTTTCCAACAAGTAAAGAAATTGCTAACTTCTGATGTTGTACTTATGCAGTACAACGAGACTCTGCCGTTAACTATTACTTGTGACGCCTCACCATTTGGGGTTGGAGCAATCCTGGCCCACGTATTACCGAACGGAGCAGAAGCTCCCGTCGCATTTTTTTCACGAACTTTAGCTAAAGCTGAAAGAAATTATAGTCAGCTGGATAAAGAAGCTTTAGCTATTGTGGCGGCAGTTAAAAGGTTTCATGAATATGTGTATGGGCATGCGTTTACAATAATTACTGATCATAAACCACTACTGGGGATTATTGCGGGTAATAAACCAACCCCGTACATATTGTCCCCCAGAATGACCCGCTGGTCTGAATTCTTGGCGGCGTACAACTACACCTTGCAACACCGCCCGGGTAAATCAATTCTCCACGCTGATGCATTGAGCAGAACACCGCTTCCAGAATCGGTTGAAGATCCAGCCCCAACCATCACAACGTTGCAAATTGAGACTCTACACGCGCCGCCATTGACAGCGAGAGACATTGCCCTCGAGACAAAACGAGATCCGGTCCTGCAACACATCCTACGCTGGGTTGAGCGTGGTTGGCCAACAGAACAGCTTTCACCTGAATGGGCGCCTTTTAAAGCATGCCAAACCGAACTGTTTTCTCAAAAGGGCTGCATCTTGTGGGGCGATAGAGTCGTAATCCCGAGCAAACTGCAACAAACTGTTTTAGCGGTATTGCACGACGGACATCCGGGCATCGTGCGGATGAAAGCACTCGCACGGAGCTACGCCTGGTGGCCGGGAATTGACAAAAGAATCGAGGCCTGGGTCGCTACTTGTCAACGTTGCCAAGACGTCAGCAACGCCCCACCTAAAGCAAGCCCAACCGAATGGGAAACTCCGAGAGGACCATGGTCCCATATCAATATTGACTTTGCGGGGCCTACAAAAGGGCACACTTTCCTTATTACAGTCGATGCCTATTCAAATTGGCTCGAGATCCATCGAATGAGCACAACTACAACGGACTCAGTTATCAACAAATTGAACAGGTTATTTGCCACACATGGTTTTCCGGACGTCCTCGTCTCGGATAACGGCCCACAGTTCACAGCATTACCATTTGAACAATATCTTGCTGACCGGGGCATCCGCCATGAGCTAACCTCGCCCGTGCACCCTGCGGCAAACGGGCGTGCAGAGTGCATGGTACAGTTTGTAAAAAAGACCCTCCACAAAATGGAATTCGGAAACATCGATGAGAAAATCAATCGGATTTTATTGTTGCAGCACATCACGCCCCACAGCGTTACCAACAAAACGCCCGCCGAACTTCTTATGGGGCGGAAACTACGATCGCACCTCGACCGGCTCCACCCCGCATACGCACCCGAAAAGCCTTTCGGCTCCAGCAGCAAATGCCGGGAATTTAAGGTAGGCGATTTAATCTTTGCCAAAAACTTCTCCGGCGACCCTTTATGGATACCCGCAACCGTTACCCACCTCACTGGGCCTAAATCTTACCGCCTGCTAACAGACGATGGGAGGGTGTGGAAACGCCACATAGACCAACTCCGTTCGAGATTACTACCCAGCGCCCATGGCTCCCCGGGTTCACCAACTGAGGGGGGAGAAAATATCGAGGAAATTGACTTCGATATGACGGATAGCAGGCCAACGGAAACCCTTCGGCCCAGCGAAGTACCGGGGATTGAAACAGGGAGGGAGTTGACTTTTCCATGGGACTTGAACACGGGGGAAACCGAACTGCGAAACCCCGAAGAAACACTGATTGGCGGAGACAACAACAACGGAAGCAGCACGGAATCACCGTGCAGCGAAACGGAACTTAATAAAGATCATCCAAACGCTCCACCGGAACCGGACTTGAGAACAAACCCGGTGGAGCCACGGAAATCATCCAGACAGACCAAACGGCCTGTCTACCTTGAAGATTTTGTTACAGCTCCCCTCAAACAGAACCCAAGGGGGAGGGGTGTTGTGAATGAATAAAAATTACTAATCCTAAATGCAAAGCAGGTTTTGGAAGCCTGCACATTTGATTGGTCCTTAAACAATGAACAAGGATTGGTTCATAACAAGCCTCTGATTGGACAAGCTTAGGACACTTCTTATTGGTTATTAGTTTGAACTTGATGCACTTAGTATTGGTTAATAGGGTAGCAGCCAACCCTATAAAAGGGGCTACTGCTGCCCATAGCTTGCTCTGTTCTGTTCTATTTACTGTTAATAAAGAGTTGAAGTCACTGGTCAGATGTCTGGTCTCCATTACTCTCCAAACGTAACACTCACAGTCTTGTAATTTCCCTCTGAAAATTAGACTGGTATTAACCTTACCAAGTTTACCAAGTCAATCAGAAGAATCACAGGAAACATTTAAAAACTAACAGATTTTTGCCAATTGTTCAACCTATTTATCAAATTAGAGTTATGTTATTTATAAAATATATAGGAACAATTTATTGAATATTTTTGGGACTTTTAAATGATTGAGGCCAAATGACAAAGCAACCTGTTCCAGTGCTATGGAAGACTTTGGTGTTCTTGAAAAGGTAAGTGAGTGAGGCCTTGTGGGTGGGAATCATGCCTAAAGCCAGTGGGGAGCTGTTGGGGAAAGGAAAGGCTTTCAGGGGCCCAAGGGATTGGAAGCACAGCACAGAGGGTCTCCTGAGATGGGGAAGGCCTTGGGAAGCCTGAGGCAGATGGACATGGGCCTGTGCAAGGCCTCCTAAGGCCTCCCCCACCTCTAAAGCACCCTGTGTACTGCTTAACCCACATGTTTGTTTAATAATTACATGGGGGAAAGCAGGTGGTCTTGCTTAACAGCCCTCATGACATTTGACCATAATGAGGAGGCTCCATTATTTCAAGGACTATCTGTGTATTCTTATTAAGGTTAATTCTTTATAATGGTCAAAATCTAGCTCATCATAACTATTAGAAATCTAGCTCATTTAAAACTATTAGAAATATCCTCCTTCAAAATTTCACTTCATGTCAGTTTTTCTCATAGTGTACAATATTTGAGATTGATGTTATCTCCATTATGTTGTTTATTGGATTTGGATTAACCCCAATCTTGAATCCAATTCTGTTATTTAAAACAAACCCTGCAGGCTAGTAAAATAAAGCAAGGCCTCAGTAAAGCTGGTAGAATGAAACTGGGATTATTATAATCTTTGTACTATTAGACCACACAGAATCCTGCAAAACAACAACAAAAACAGACCCTGTATTTACAAGTAATTCTATTTTTAATTTTCTCCCCTCTGTAAAATGATGGGGGGGGGGGGGGGGGGGATGAATTGCAGTGATTGAATCACATGGAAGAGATAATCAAGAGCTATTTCTCTGCTGTTTGTTTTTGTCTGCTCTATGTCAATTCTCTTTGGCTAAAAAATAATGCCTTTTAAGAATATACTTTCCCATTTATATTTTGGGGGAATAGGATGAGTTTAACACGTGGGTATAGTTTTACTTATTCTTAATCCTTTCAGATTTCTTTCTTTATGTTCCTTCCTTTCAACCAATCCTTCCATAGTTTGGCAGGTTTATTTCCAAGAGGCACTTGTACAATATTTTCAGTTTTGGAGACTTTAGTTTCCATGAATTTAGAATTAATACACATACACACCCAAAAACCTTTACATCTCTCTGATCGAATCTGGGCAACACAACCTACACAAGAGAAATTAATATGAATGAGATTGCATATTTTTCTATCAGAAATAGAAAAAAGTTATAAATCTTATCATCATCATCAACAACAACAACATTAATAATCTGGCACCAGAATCTATGTATTTATTTTTCAGAAAATGTTTACAAGTCTCCTTCTCAAAAGTGGTTATTGGACTTCAAAATTACTTTCATTAAATCAAATCAGGCTGTTTTCTAAACCGTCCAACTGATGAATCCAAAGTGAGATGAACTTGGGGCTTATTACTTACATTATACTGATATGGATGAGCAACAACTTAACCAGATGGTTTCCAATACCTAGTTTGACTAAATTGATCTGTGGATCATTGTCTAGAACAGGATGTCTGTCTATGAGGATGAAAATGGATACAACAATCAAAAATAATTTGAAGGACCACCATCATTCCAATCAATACACATTCCAACCACTTTGGTATATGATTCCAAATAAGAGCTCTGCTACTTTCAGTTGTTAACCTCCTGCTTAAGGGCCAAGCTATTCTATTCAGCACATTAGCAACAAGATAAAAGACCAGATATTAGATCAATATTCCCCAACCCGATGCCCTTTAAATTTGATAATGTCAAATGGAAACAACAGGATTTGTAATACAACATGTTTGAAGAGAACCACATAGGAAAAGGATGGTTTAGATGGATTCTACTTAAATCAAAACACTTAAATTTTCTGGAAGCTATGACAGGTTCTCCAATACTTAATTTTGCCATTTCCTGGTCAATCCATTCATAAGATTGACCCCCTTTGCAGCTAACAATGAAAACATAATTTACAGCTTCTGCCATCCTCTTTTGTAATTTCTGGCTTTTAGTCTCACATTTTTCTCAAATCAAGAATTCTAAAGTTCTGTTGTGATTTTAAGGGAATAAAAAACAAAACAAACAAAGCAAAACTTCCAAGCATTCAAAATATCTCCTATGTTTGGGTTTTAAGTAGGTGTATGGTAGGTGTTATTTTTTGTATTTGTATTTTGTATTAATTATTTCTGTTGATAGAGTTATTGCAAGATGATTTTAAGTGGGTATTGGTAGGTGTTTTTCTTTTATTTGTTTGCATGCCATCCAATCCTCTTATAGCTGAACAATATCCTGCAACTTGAGTGATTTGGACCAGTTGATTAACATTTTCCCCATATAACAGTACAGAATTTATATGTCAGAGATCATGGTTAAGCATAAACATGTGGGATCATTGGATCAATTTCCATGTAGGAATCAAAAATAAAGAAAATACCATTTTTCTCTAAGGACATGGGTAAAGACTTTATCTGCAATGCCGTGTGAATTTTTCAAGTATTATATATTCATGTTCTTATCCTAAATATCAAGTCAGGGTCTCCAGAATCTTGAATCTGTTCCTGATTTTTAAGTCTCCCAGGTGTTGACATGCCTCTGCCTGTTATTTATCTTACCTCCATAAAGGGAGCTGGAATTTTAGAAAGGTATAGAGGTGAGTATATGAATGGATCACAAGCCTGTAAAGGACTGGCTGTACAGAAAGAGAAAATAGCTGCTTGCAGAGTTTGAAAGAAAAAATTAGCACAGAACAACTCAATATAAAAACAGACTTGTTATGATGAAACCCCTAAAAAACATTTTTTACTCTGCATCAATTGTCTGTTTTCTTGATGGGTTTTGCTTTTAAGAGGAAAAAAATCTTCTAAAGTCTGCTTTTATTACTGTTGCCCTATAAACCATGGTATGTTTTCACTCTCTAAAAGGGTAGATTAGGGAATTGAATGGTAATGACCTGCTGACTAAACGTATTTGCACAGGATGGTTCAAATCTACCTAGATATGGTAGCTCTCATATTACCTAAGGATGTGTTTTCCCTCAATCTGAATTCCCAGTTGTCAGAGCCTTGAAACACAATATATTCCAAAGGTGTTTTTCAAGAGACAACTGGACTTTCTGAATTTTCTTTGAAGATGTTTCACTTCTTATCCAAGAAGCTTGTTCAGCTCTGACTGGATGGTGGGGAATGAAAGGATTTATACTCCTTGTAGGCAACTGGTCATTTGCATTTTTTTAGTGGGTCATTAAAGTCACCTGGAGGTTTATCTGTGTCATCAGGGCCACCTGAGTGGTGCAAATGGATGTGGAGCCTTCTTGGAACAGTACAAAGGATTGTGTTGTAAATTGGAGATAGATGATGTCATACCCTCTCCCTCTGTTGAGAGAGGGCTGTTTAATATTGACATAGATGGCCTCTTTTACCTCTTTTCCAAACAGCGGTCCACTCTGTCCAAGCTTCTTGGATGAGAAGTGTCTACAAAGAAAATCTAGAAAATCCAGTTGCCTCTTGAAAAACCACTCTTGGGACAACCATGACCTGGATTACTGAGAATCTCCATAGACATTTAATGCAACTATTCAAGAGAAGTATAGAGATTTCCTTGAATGGTAGCCATTATGAAAACATCAGCTTAACCAGTGGTGGGCTACAACCGGTTTAACAACAGGTTCTGTGAGGATGCATGTCTAACACACTTGCGCACAGCATTCAAAATACTCCCATGAGATCTGACATGCTTCAGATCCCTTTGATTAACCAATAGTGTGTGATGGAACCTAGGAAGCACAGCCTTGGGGAACAACCTATATCCTCAATATGGATGGCCTTGATCATGATGGCTTACCCTATGGCACTAGAAGATTGACTTTTTCCTCAGGAACCAGGCCAGAAAGTTAGGTGAGCCGTTATTATGGGGTTATTGATATGAATATGTACTTCAATTTTTGATTTGTGTTTTCATTGTTGTTTGTAATTTGATGTTTATCAACCAGAGTAAGTGGCCATACAGATAATAATAATAAAAATAAAGGCTTTAGCTAAAGAATTTCTGATGACACAACTGATAAATCTCAAAATTCTTTGAAGCTGAGAAATGGAGAGGGATTGGAGAATATAATCCTACACAGGGAGATTTTTCATGAAATGAATGTATAGTCTGATAGTATTACAGGAAGAGGTGACTGCACATACAATATGAATTGCCTCTTTCAAATGTACTTTCAGTCATTTTGCCAGGAAACGTCTAAGAAGTGCTTCTTAAAATGGCAGCCTAGAATAGAACTGCAGATGCCTCCTCTGAAAATATGTTACTTTGAATTTTCCCCCAAACAGTTCCAATGATAGCTCCATCTTTAGCAGCTATACAAACTTGTTTCATCCTGTGATTGCAGCCACGGACAAGAAAGCAACACCACATCAAGGTATGGATAGATGGAGAGGAAGAACATGGTTCAGTTTTCTTTGGAAACCCAGAGCCTTCCCTTCCCCACTTACATCGCTTTCTCCATAGCTCTATGTTTGTATTCAAATAGTAGCTCCCCCAAGCAAGTGGCGAACAAGCCTGTCTGTCTAGCACATATTAAGGAAACCTGATTGAAGATTAACAGGCTTTGTAATTAGACAAACTGAAAGCCTGCCCAGCGCATTGCACCTTTCCAAAGCTCTGTGTTGATTATTATTACTTGATACAATGGCCTCCAAGAACAGTTCAATTATTTAAATATAAAGCACAAATTAGGCTTTCACCTTTGCCCCAGTTTGACAGAATTATGTGTACAAGAGAGCATACTGTATTAAGGGGGGGGGGCAGGGATGCACTTTAAAAGAAATCAATCTGAGTAAGATCAGAGTGGAAACAGGACAGGAATATTTGCAAATCTGGGGCAGAAGCATTATTTCTATCTTTCTGGTGCAGAATCTTTCACAAGCTTTGTGATAGGTTACTATTATACATATGAAAATTGTTAGATTTCCATACTGAAAGAAAAGCAACCAAAAATGTCATCTGATGTCTTCATCAGGCTATTTAACAAAGATGGAAAAGCCTCCCAGAACAAGTCTTCAGAATGGATGTATATGTTCTCCATATACAGTATCCATAATCCAAATGCCGTCATAACAAAAGAACATTTTGCTTTAATTCTTTGAAGATTTAAAAAAAAGTCTCACAAATGTATTATATGAACTATTTTTTAATTTCAATCCATCTTTTAGTTGGACATCTCTTGAAGGTCAGATAGCTGCAATAAATATATATCTCTGTTAATTATTATGGGAAAGTTTAGAACAGTTTACCTCAGCCTTGTGTCTTTCAGATACGTATAAGTAAATACTCCACACAACAATTTTTACAGTAAATGTGGTGAAAGGAAAGGTAGTACATTAAAAACTCAACTACAACTGTGGTTTCAGAGCACAGTAACACTTTAGCAGAATCTGATTCTACAACATTCTATATTTTTCATTTGCATGGCAACTTTATCATAGGATTTATGAATTATAAGTCAGTCATTTGACAACATGCTTATGAGATAACTGCATGTTTGAACTGCATTTTTGTACATGCAAAGTAAATCTGTTGGGGAAAAAACATTTATCTTACTTTCTCCCTGACACACACAGACATTCAACATATTCACATATGCAATCGCCCCCATGAACATTAACCACAGTATCCAATTTACTGAATATTTCTATGGGCTCTAGTTGAATAATATCTCATTTTAAAAAATAGGTAGATGCTCTTGATTTGAAGAACATCAATACTTGGGAAAGGGCATAGAACATTCAGAAGAAATAAATAGCACAGTGGATGCTCGCAAAAGCTTTCTCTGCACTTAAAATAGGAACTGAAGAACATTTTAAAGCCGCATGAGATTTCTTGTTAGAGAAATATTAAATAAAAACTACTCAATAAAGGGACAGACAGTCTTGAGAGATAACAGGAAAAGTTTAATAGAAGCTGGACAATCAAGGATGCTTCATCCTACTTCAAATGATTCAAAATAGTTCACAATGTGAAAAAATATGATAAAACAAGCATAATGAAAATAATCAACAAACCAAATCACCTCTACTCAAAACAAGCTACCAAGGTTCATCAGCTACATCAAAACACTGTCAGAATAAAAGCAGTCACTGCTAAAACCAGCCAAAATAAGTGCTTGTCAGATGGCAAAGCATTCCATAGATGATGGATTGACACCAGGAAGGCAGGCCCTTGGCCCCATCTTCCTTCCCTTTATTTGAGGTAGAAACCCACAGCAGTTTTCATCTGGATGCACATATAGGCTGAGTCTGGACTAAAGAGATACATTTGCTGAGTCATGTAGGCCTCTATAGTTTAAAGCTTGGGCCTTGAATTGGCTCCAGAAGTGTATTGACATTTGAAAGAAAGCTATAATGCTTCTAAATATACATATTTTTATTAGCACCAAGGCCACTTCATTGTGCACCAACTACAGCTTCGAAGCTGTGTTCCAAGATAGCTTCGTGTAATTATGAAATTATGAGGTTATGAGCTTTTGTACTGAGAAGTGGGCTGAACCAGACATCCATGCCATAGAGGCCATACTAATAATAGAGATAACACTGAGGAAGAACAAGAAAAATCTCACACTGTGAGTACATTAATCATGTTGGCTTTAAGATGTTAAATTTTCTAGGTCAAAGGGCCCAATTTCCCAGTTGGATTCAGCCATGTCATCTTTTTTCAAGAAGCCAACTGCTAAGAACCAGTCACTACCCCAGGCCTTGGTGGTCTTTCTTCCTTGGAGATAGGTAGGCTGCCCAGATCATGTGCTTCTAAAGAAGGCATTCTCCCTTCTGCTTTTCTCTGGGAACTTCTAATTAAATATAGCAGTCTTGAGAGTTCAAGCTGCACATCCCCTTTTTTTGAAATCACACCCTATTTGGTATCAGCTGTTGTGTGAAGCTGAGAATGGATATTACAGCTTTTTATGATATAATATCCCCTTAATTGGTGCTTCAGAGGTCTGTGCCTGAAATTCTTATCCATTTTATCTCAAACTGCAACCTGTGATTTTTTCCCCCCCTTGTCTCCACCGTGCTGGAAAAAGCCATTCAAGGCAGTGAGGTGACTGGTATTGCACACTTCCAAAGTACCTTAATGTGTCAAAAATGTTTGGGGGAAGAAAGCGAGCACTGTAAATGCAATCACCTACATTGGTGTCCCCATTGTTCGGTGAGAGGCAAAGTATTGCTAATTGTCCTGCGTTTTAGCAGGGTTTTTAAAGCATTATGTGGTAAGTACACCAAAGGATCAATTTGTGAAGTGAAATGCTTAGCATGCAAAGCGTCATACAAGATGCTGTGTAATACTTGACCTCTCAGCATAATAAATGTTGCAGTGAAACACTGTGCATTCAGGCAGGCCTGAATAGAGACTCTGCCATGGAACAAAACCAGAAAATGTCCTCTTCATTCCCTTCCCTTTTCTACTACTAAGCGAAAATTATGCTTTTATAATGGCCATTGCAGCAATTAGCCAGCATTTTAGGGGGAGGGAGGCGATGAACAAATGTGAAGAAATAGTAATTTCTTTGTGGAAATTAGATTTTGTATGGAGGCTACAAATTACTTGGAGGTATATGAATAATGGAGGTTTGAGCACAGTTTGCCGGAGAAAGCGGTTTGGGTAGATTGGAAGATTTCCTCTTTGTGGTTAAATGTTTAGACATTGGGCTACTTTAATTTTACTCACAGGCTGGCTTAGGTGACCCTGTGTCTCCCTACTGATATTTTTTGTAAGCCTGGAAGGAAGAATTACAGATGAAATGGGGGTTGTTCTGTGTGACATGCAAATACAGTTAAGGGTTGTCAGCCCAAGTCTGTTCTAGAATTTAATCCTGGCTTGCCAGAATTTATAACTAATTCAGCATGTTTAACTGGCAGTTGTGTTTTTTTCCTCTCTAATGTATGAACTAATAAGGATTTGATCCTTTTTTCTTTAATTTTCTGAAAGTTTAATGTGACATAATGAGAATGTCAGAGCTCACTGACATGAATGCCAGAGTTCACTGTAACAGTAACTCACTGTAACATTCACTGTAACAGTGAATGAATGAATGCCAGAGATCACTGTAACAGCATTGCCAAAAAGGCATTAAGAGTTGTAAATCTAATCTTACGAAGCTTCTCCTCTGGAAATATTGAATTGCTAATTAGGGCATACAAAACCTTTGCTAGACCAATACTCGAATACAGCTCATCTGTCTGGAATCTGCACTGTTTATCAGACATTAATACAATTGAGCGAATCCAGAAGTATTTCATGAGAAGAGTACTACACTCCTCTGCTCGCAACAGAATACCCTATATCACCAGACTTGAAATTTTGGGCTTGGACAATCTTGAACTACGCCGCCTATGGTTGGACTTAAGCGTAGTACACAAAATTATCTGCTATAATGTCCTACCAGTCAATGACTACTTCAGCTTCAACTGCAACAATACAAGAGCACACAACAGATACAAACTCAATGTTAACCGTTCCAAACTTGATTGCAGAAAGTACGACTTCAGCAACAGAGTGGTCAATGCCTGGAATGCACTACCTGACTCTGTAGTTACATCCTCAAACCCCCATTCTTTTAACCTCAAACTAACCACTATTGACCTCACCCCATTCCTAAGAGGTCTGTAAGGGGTGTGCATAAGTGCACCATCGTGTCTCCCGTCCCTGTCCTATTGTCCCCATTTAATCATACATATTTTCTGTATTCTTACTCATGTTTATACTTATACCTATTATTTTGTAAGCGATTAACAAATCAAATAAATAAAAATAAACAAATAAAATAAATGTCAAAAGTGCTTTTCTTCAAAAAGCAACTGGACTTTTCCCTTGGAAAATGTTTTGTTTATCCAAAAACTTTTTTAGTTCTACCTGTAGTTATCATCATTAATTTATTTATATAGCGTACGGCATGTGTTAGCCAGGGATCACCAAAGTGGCTGCCTGCCTTTGTGAAAGGAATATTTTTGGGCATTGTTAACTTTACCTGTGGGACAACTGAATGCCAGTAGGCAGTTGGGGGGGGGGTCCTTTCTTGTCCCTCCATGGTTTATTCACTCATGGGAATCGAGCCACTGAGCTGTCGACCTCAGCGGTGTGCAGGCCTGACATCTTACCACGTGAGCCACCGTAACCCCAATCATCATTAGTACCTGATGGTGTAGCATTGTCCTAGATAGATTAAGTGCACATTCTGGGGATTCTTCTAGATTCAAGGAGCAAGTGGCAGTCATGCCTAAGAGAGCCTTTGCACAGCTTAGTGTTGGGAATCATTTGTACTCTTCGTGGACCATGAGGCTCTATTCCAGTGATGGCTAACCTTTTTGACACCAAGTGCCCAAAGCACGCACACATTCCCAAAATGCAATGCGTGTGCACCCTGTGCACGCACCCCTTCCCCTGCACATGCATGCATGACCTCCCCTGCATATATGGACATGACTCCCATGTGCGCCCTGCCCCCCCGTGCATGTGCAGCAGAGACCTAAAGACCAGCTGACCGGTGGGAGGAGCACATGCGCATGCACAGCAGAGCTGAGCTGGGGCAACAGCTCGCATGCCCAGAGAGAGGGCTCTGCATGCCACTTCTGGCATATGTGCCATAGGTTCGCCAACATGGCTCTACTCAAAAATCACTCATATTAGATTGGACTACTCACGTACTGCTCACATTGCTGTCCAGTTTTCTTCTTGAGCTGTGGACCTTGTCCTGGGCTGGTCCTGTAGTTCCTCTATTTAAGACTTCACTTTCCATGCCTTAGGGAAAAGATTTAATAGGACTCAAGATGTTATGGCTTCCATGGCAACCAAGTAACTTTGTGCCCAATTCACCTAGATAAATGCGTAATGGATCTCAGAGCAGCAGCTAGGTGATTTGGTGGTACGGAATATGACTGCAATGGTTAGATCATTTTTTGGTCCAAATGAGTTTTGTCCTCACCTAAATCCTCATTGGATGTGAGGAGCAATTAGTATTGTCTGCCTCAGCTGCTTCTGATTCTGAAAGGTTTTTAAGAAGTGCTTGAACTAATTCCTAGCAGTTTGGAGGTAGCATCTGGTTGTATGTTGTGGGTAGAAGGGAACTAGCACTCATTTGGTCCAGGAAGGGGTGCAAATTCTATCAAGAGACCTGAATTACCATGGCATTTAAGAGATGAAACATCACTCTGAGTGCTGCTGGAGAAAGACCAAAAATGAATTTGATGGCAGAAGAACTTGTATTTGAACTTACATTCAATAAGGATAGCAAAGTATTTGGTTGGCCAGTGGAATAGAGAACAGCTGGATCAAGGAAATGGTCAATGCCTTCTGGTGACAGTGTATTTCTAACTATTTTTAAATAATTAGATGCATTCCTTTTTGAAAAGACCCTCTTTGACTTGTGCAAATTAGATAATTATGATCTTTAAAAATCTTATTTTAGGGAAGATTGTCAAAAAGGTAGTATGGTTCCAGCTATACAGTACTCTACAATAAACAGTTTATCTAGACTTTTTTTTTCAGATCTGAGCATGTAGCTGAGTTTGTATTGGTCACTGTGATCAATAACTTTTCTTTGAACCTGGACCTGAGGAGAGTGACTTCTCTTTATCCTACATGATCTCTTAGCAGACTTTAAAATAAACAATTACAGTATTTGTGTTTAACTGTTGAGGATTGGAGGCACTGCTTAAGTAGCTCTTATCTGATGGGTTTCAAAGACCGGTCATTGTGCAGGGTGCCAAGATGTCTATCTGCATGGGCAGTGTTTATTACATTTATAGAGTTTTTACAAGAAGACAAAGGCAACATCTGGATTGGAGAATAGATCCCACATGGGTGAATTTCAACCACATTGGTACAACCTCCCAACCAATCCTTAAGACTAGTGGTAATGTTAGTAAAATGAAGTCACCTATAAGTCTGGAAAGTCTGGGACTTTCCACCAAGATATAGGGAATGAGATTGTGCAAATAGCCAAGAGGCCCCATATAGGTTTTCTAGACAGTTGCAGTTTGCTGCTAGCATCTAGCACCATCCATAGGATCTCAGTAGCTACTACATTTCACTCTTTTTTATTTTGTTTAGACAAAGAATAGTCATAAGAGAGGTTAGTAAGGGAATTATAATAATCAGTAGAAGAGCACACTTGCAGTTGTTTATACAGGCCATATACCTGACCCTGAGGCAATGTAGGAGAGGGTTTAGGGTGAAAAGGGTTTAGGGTGAAAAGCTTTGATACATATGTTGCAAAGAGAAGGGAGACATTGAACAAAGCAGCACCCACTAATTAAAGCACAAATAATGATTACATAGTGTAAAATTTTTCCCATTAAGCCTGTGGGCAATCAAGCCCAAAAGCTTTCCCACCAAGATCCTAATTTATCAATTTTCAAATCGAAGGCCAAATTGTGTAAAAATATTAAGCTGGTGCTGGATGGTTCATGACCCATCAAACAAATTAAAACAATATAGATTTTGTAGAATAGCCTTCCTCAACGCTTGCATCGCGTGGTTGATTGTTGAGATAGCTGAAGAAGTAACATTAATTATTTTTGCTAAATTACATGCAACAGAGTTAATATTAAGGTAAGCACGAGCAGCAATTGCTGGCACGCCCACTATAGACAAAGCTAGCACTACATATTCTGCTTTATTAAGTAAAGTTGTTTCAGAGTCACAGGTGCTATCTAGCATGACCCCATGTCGAGAACGATTTGAATGATGAATTTGTTGTTTAGAAAGCAAAACAGGAATCAGCCAGCTGAGGCAGAATTGTGCTTTACTAAGATTACCAGGAATATAATTAAAAGTTTCTTGACCACATATAAACAACCATCCTTGCGGCAGTCAGACATGGGCAAAGTGAAAGAAAGTCTCTTCAAAAGCTGTGCAGTTCAAAGTAGGTGAGCTAATGCAATGACAGTGAGGTTTTTTACTCAAAAATGTATAATTAACTACTTTTGCACAAGTTATATTTATAGGGACCGCTACCATTGAGGTGTGTAAAGCATAATAGGCAGCAAATCCTGAAGTTTTGAATTACTGCAGAAGAAGTGCAGACAGGAAATAAACATATAGAAAACAAATGTTCCATATCATAAGTTTCATTATAAGCAAAAGACATTATTCTGTGTGATGTTAGCCAATTGCACCCATAAGTTTTACTTCATTCGTTTAAGTGAGTGTTTGTGTGGAATAACAGCCATTGTTGCCAAATAACAGCTGTAAACAATCAAGCATAAACAAGTGAGCCCGGATTGGACACTGTGCCATCTGTAAAGTCAAATTCCTGGGACTGGGACCGTATCCGGGGATTGGTGTAGACATCCTTGGCTGGGTGGACACAACAAGCTGGAATCCACAAAGATCCTGTAGGAAAAAAACACAACAACACAGCCCTGCCCCCTCGCCCCCAAGTAGTTAACTAAAACATTCAATTAATTTAAGGTAAATAGAAACATTAAATTGCATTCAATTGTGGTAAGGTAAATAATACTTTTAAAAACTTTTTAGAGACCCTTTCCCTCCTTTTTTTACTTATTTGTGGAGGCAGGCCTTAAATGACGGATGAACATGTTCCATTATGGCTATATTCCAGGCTGTACAAAATTGCAAAAAAGCCAAATATCATGTTTGTAAAAACGAGGGCTTGCCTAGTAGGTAACATCCATTTGCCAAAGTTGATGATGAAACAATCTGCTTGGCTTGATTAACTGGAATATGGCAAGTTTGTGCCAGGTCTCTAGCATTTTGATGGAAAAAAGAGTGACTGAAAAAAAAAATCAGCAAAGCTAATAGCCTTAAGAAAGAGGCCCAGAAAGGGGCGAGTGTCTACGTATGTAAGAAATATCTTTGGTCTTGTAGTAGCTGTTGCAAAATTAAAAATAGGGTCATAAGATTAGGGACAATCCTGGGCGTAATATAAGCACCTGGAAGATTAAAAGTAAGTTAACACACATAATGAGAGTCAGAGATTAAATCAAAAGGCTATTGAGAAAATTTTTTGAAAGTTAAAATAGCAGGACACTTTCCAGGTATCATCCTGACAATCCTTGTAAGGACAGGAAAGGAAGAATTCATTAAGCAAGCAAGCCAAGGATCTGTAGACAAACAATACAGTTTACATAGTCAAGCAAAGGACGTTGAGGAGATAAGTTTTTCTAAAAATAAAATTGAAAATCAGATTTACACAACTTCACTATTTATACCTTACTGCACTTTATCAAAAATTACAAAGAAAAAGTTATTTGCAAAGGGGGGAAAAGCACACACAAATAACTTTCATTATCAGTAAAGCACACACAAATAACCATCTCTTTCCAGTAAATCACATACATTTCTCCATGGGATCTTCATGTCCGGACCATTCATATTTCCTTGCACACACTATTTCTACTCTCCTTTCAATCTGGGATGGGGGTCAACACACAAACATTTATACCAACTTTTTTACCATCAACATACTCACACATTTACATGGTTATCATACTGCTTGCATACTTGGAAATTCTTTTCTGGGAGCCAGTAAGCTCCATTGTAGAGGATCTCATCCTCCAAGGCTGGAAATGATTACATACACACATCCTCACACACAACATTTCCAGACCTGGGGAGGTTTTGTCCCTTTAAATCTCCACATTTTCTTTTTTTGGACAACCTATAGTTTGTTCTCGGAGCACTGGGAAAACTCAAGGAGTGGTTCCAATCACAAAGGCAATTGTGGGCCTGAACCATTGCCTATCTGCCTCCCACAGCTCTAAGTCCAATCCAAAAAGCCAATTTAATTCTCTGGCTGCCAAATATGTTACAATTAATTTATTTTGAACTGCAGCAATTCCAATTAGGGCTATACAGAGGTAAAGGATATTTTCTTCAATTCAATCCTATTCCATTTAGCATACAATTATTTTACAGTATTATACATACACAACTAAGTTCTACTCTGCATGCAATTATAACACATTATTATACATACACATCTAAGAAGTTTTAATGAAAATCACATCATGAAAAGAATAGTAAACATTTTCTTCTTCTCTTAGTTCTTCCTAACATATATATAACAGCATAAGTTAACCATATTTTCAAGTTACATCGATTGTTCTATTTTCTTAATCATTAAATAATTAAAAAGATTAAACATAAAAATTTTAAAGAAATAAATTTATGTGTCTCTGTCCTGGGTTTCTAGCTTGAATCTCCCCCCTTTTCTAATTGTTCCTTTAATATTTGCCTTATTGGGGTGTACAATGGCCTTGGAGAATAAATTTTTTTTAGCCTGCTCAGAAGGAGCTGAAAGTCCAATTAGAGAAGATTTTGGAGTGACAATTTTTACCTGATCATAATCAGGAGGGAGGCTTATAGTCAATTATTATTTTGCTGAGACATCAGAGCCAGATGTTTCCACTGCATGACAGCATTGATACCATCGATGTAATATTTGGACTGGAGCCTTGGGTATCCTGAACCTTCTATTCTATTCTATTCTATTCTATTCTATTCTATTCTATTCTATT